TTAAAAAATGTGAGGTATTTTTATTCTTTCAAGGCATAATCATTATTTTTTTTAAAGTATATCTATTAAATAAATCACTTTATATTTATTTTAGATTAAAAAATTTTATTAAATAGGGGTAAATATGAAAAGATATATTTAGTTTGAAGATAAGTAACTATTTTATTGGAATAAGATTCAGTTAAAAATATCTTATATTTTTTAACAAAGAGCGTATATGTGTATATATATTAATATAATATATATAGATTGAATTAATATTTAAAAAAATGTGGAACATGTTGAGCATGAGGTGGGTAATGAGACAAAATATCGATCAACCAAAAATGGATCGGTGCTATTAGAATCAATATGTATTCGACTTTTACCAGGCTTGTGTGTGTTCCACATTTTTTTAGTCCAACTGTTTGATATAGCTGACTTTTATCAACAAATAAATAAATGGTCCCTCCTTATTTTGAAAAATTTGGTTTTGTAATTTCAACCAGACATACCAATTGAACACTACTATATCACTCAGACATCAACACACACACAATTATACCTTAAAACTTCCAAAAAAAAAAACCAATTATATCTTCATGGAATATTTAGAAATTAGGGGGAAAACTCCCAAATTTATCTCCCCTAATTTTATTTTATTAAACATTCTTTGGAGTTTCAGCATAATATATATTAGTAATCTAGAAGAAGTACACACTTGTTCCTTTTAAGAATTTTTTTTGGCTTTTGGTAAATTTGAGTATATATTCAACCTATCCAATCTAAATTTGAGGTCTAGTTTGTTATCGAAATTTTTTTATATAATTTTTAGAGTGAAGAGTTATTTTTGGCCCTCAACTTTATTCAAAAAGTTAAAAACATTTAACATTTGTTAGTCATAAGTGAATTTTACTATTTTTTAATTTTTTATTGAGTTAATGGTTATTTTTGGCTCAACAGACACCCTCAACTCAAATATTTTATAATAAAAAATATTAAAAAAATGTAATATGAGGCACACTAATAGTGAGAAAACAATAATGTAATGAGGAAGGGAATCTTTAAAATTGAAAGTCAAAATTAACCCATATTTGAGTTTATGGTCTTAGTGACCTCTTAGGTAAAATTAAGAGAGGTAAAAATAATAAAAAATATCAATTAAGAATCATTGGAGAAGATTTATATCAATCAATAATTATTTATTATTAAAATTTGAATGGATAGTTTTCAATGTCGGTTAGTTTTTTATCAACAAGTACTCATTTAAATTTTAATAATAATTTATTTTAAATTAATAATAGTTCATTCATACTTGTTTTTCATTCGAGTTTTGACAACAATCAGTCCTCAATTAATATAAATTTCCTTTGGCGGTCCTTGATTACTATTTTCCCTGTTTAAAATAACCCTTAACCATATTTTTTATTGTAAGAAATATTACAAATATTTAAAGAAATGTCGCATGTGATGTGAGGTTTGTCCTTTTTTACGATTTCATTTCTGAATTTTCATTTGGTTTTAGTTTTTATTTATTTTTTTGACAATGATCTTTTACGTCCAGGAAATCGTCCCCTTCTCTAGTATTAGTCAATCTTCATCATCCCTATTTAAATGCTCATTTCATGGATTATTTTTATTAATTGAAAATAAAATTATTCCGGTCGTTTGGATCTTGTTCATTTACTTCGACAATTCCTATAGGTACTTTAATTTGGGATCAAAATCCTCTAAAGTTCACTCTCCAAAGTTTTTTTGCTTTATATAAAAGCATTTGATTAAATGAAAGTTCAGAATTTTACCATATAATAAATAAAACCATTTGTCTTGCTCGAGTATGGTTTCAGTACTATAATATCTGAGGCCAAATGCTTGATGTTTTGCTTGAAGAATTTTAAATTTATATTTCCTTACATTCATATTGCTACCAATGAATTAAAATTAGACACATCTATTATCACTTTGATTAGGCACTCGGCTTTTGATACTCATAAATTCAGGAAATTAAATTTCAGAGAATGAAATTTAGTGAGTTTTGATTCTTTAATTTGCTAAAATGAAAAGTTTCAAAAAGTAATGGTACGTATACCTAAGTTTATATTGTTAATGAAATTGATGGCCAAAAGAAGTTTTTTTTTTAAATTTTATTATTAAAGAAAGGAAAATTATTGAGCTTGATTAACTTTTGGACATTATCAAAAGCCAATAGCCGAAATTGATTCTTCTTTGATCTTATGGCTTGTTAACAACATTTAATTATACTAATTTAATTAAAATCTATTTATTGATTTATCAAAATCGTCCTTTTCACCTGGAAAAAAGGTATCCGAAATCTGATCCATAAGGTGAACGAGGCGCATTGTGCGGTTGGAACACATTAATCGATCATATAGATTTTTTTTTTAAAATAATTTACTTATTTGAAGTAAAATGATGCAATGATTGCCAAATTTAAGCGATAGAATTGTATTTAATAAAGTGTCATATATAATATATATGCAGTATAATTTATTTTAAAGTAAGCAAAAGGTCTAATTTTTTTTTTTAAGGATATATAAGATTTTGAAATTGGGTAAAACTACTTCTAAACTGTACAAGACGAATTTTAATATAAGAGTAGATGTAAAATTAAGCAATATTTCTCATTAGTTTCAACTTGTCTTGGCGTAAAAATATTTTAATTCGAATTAAACATGTTAAAAAGTAAGAGTGATAAGTCACCTAATGATTGGTTGAATGGCGTTAAGTAGGCCTTACTATACCTTAAATTAATAAATATATAAATTAAAGAAAAGAGTAATATGTTTCACAGAGATTACTTGATTAATTGATGTGGGTCGCATATTGTATTCCTGCTGTAAAGAAATATAAAAATTAATTATTTCTTGTTCATGACCAATACTTAACAAAAAAATAAGATTAAATCGCTAATGAGCATTGATCAAATAAAACGCAGAAGCAGGGCTTCTTCTGCATCTTAAGTACGTTAGCAAAACATGTTTTGTGGGGTAATTATAAGCTCTAAATGGTTTTATAAATTTAAGATTGTTAAACAAATATATGCTTCATTTGGCATGAAGAGAATTTTTTTCTTATTACTAATTTTTACTCTCCACAATCCGAATCTATTGTTATATTTTTTTTTAGGTTTTTTTTATACAAAAAAGTTTAATTGAGTTGCGTTGGGGATTCACTAAGATTGGGGAATGTCTTTAAGCTCAAAATTAAAGTGCTAACAGATTATTTATCAATAGCGAGATATGACTGTTATTTAAGGTTTTTAATGTACCGAGGTAAATAAATCATTTATTAATGCGAATATTATTTCACGAAGACTAAAATGCTCTCAATTAATCCCCTTTGAATAGAGAGAAGGAATACAACCATAACATTGAAATTTGAATGGGAGTACAGATGGAAAATAATTCAGGCATTAGAAGACTAAAACAACAATTTTTGAAGTAAAAAAAAAAAAAGCTTTGGAAGGGAGGGAGGGTGTATGATTTAGTTCTCACCCAAAAAAATACTAAATAACTTATGCTCCCTCTAGTTTTTCAACATTTTTACTGCAACCAAAGAAAATCTTAAATATTATATTAATTATATCTAAAAATTTAACAAGTTTTTAACTTTATCTTTATTAAATACACATATTTTAAAAATAAAATACTCTAACTTTAATAACCTTCTCAATATTTAATAGAGGTAAAGGGGTAAATATAGACACAATAATCATTAAAGTGTGCTCTATAAATTGGATGAAAAATCCTCTCTCAATCCTAAAAATAGGATCAGAAGAGTATATACTCCCTCTAGTTTGTATTAATTATATTTTTATATTATTACACCTATTTAAACTCATAATTAGCAATGAGAAAAATGTAATGCAAATTTGACAAGTTGTTCATTTAAATATGAGTAAAATTAAAAATTTATTTTTTTCATACAAAGTCAATGACTTAATTATCTCTTCTTGAATTCAGTATGATATTTTAGAGGTGCCTTATAATAGATATCAAAGTAGGTAAATCACTTCTAACTAACTTATTAAAATTAATGAAAGTAAATTAGTTGAAGCCAATAATTGTCGAGATTGAATAATTTTTTACTTTTGCCTCTCATAAACAATATTTTGAATTTTGATGTTCCGTTGGATTGTGGCAGGACAATATTTTAAAATAACTCATACTATACGCAAAACTATGACTTATTTTTGTGCCCCATATATAGGACCTACGCGTTATTGGGATATTCCACATCATTTATGATACTGTTTTTATTTTTTAAGAAAATCATTTTGATATACTCTCTCTGTCTAACCGAAATACACCATCAATAAGTTAGTTAATTATCTTTAGACTGATATCATACTTTTATGTTTGCTTTATTTAATAGGATGTTTTAAGAATGAAGGGTTGAGTGATTATTTATTTATTAAGAATATTTTTGAAGAAAACCCATATATTTTTCATTAAAAGAACAAAAAACGTTTTCTTTTGAACATTTAACTATAAAAATACTTTATATTTTTTGACAGAACATACCTTACCAAACAAGACACTAAAGCACAAAATTAGGATGTCAGACAGGCAAACTGAAGATTCGACTGTGCATGAAGACGTCGATGATGGGGTTAGAATCTTAGAAAGATAAAAAAAATAATATGCCTTCAAGAGAGTTTGTCTGTTACCCATGCAAAAGAACAACCACTTTTTTTTTTTAAATGTAATAATGAATGAATGGTATAATCTTTGTTGGATGCCCGTTCGAATAGATCTATTAGAATAATGTAAAACACGAGTCACACAACCCACCAATAGATTGAGATAGTCTCAAATCAGGTAACAAAGTCCTACACAAAGAGGGATGTAAATATTATCAAGGTGTCTTAAAATAGTATTGTACTGTCTTCAAAAGAAAGCTATCAAAGAGATATCAAGTGGGAGAGAACAGAGAGAGAGAGAGGGGGGGGGGGGAGGGAGGGAGGGAGAGAGCGAATCTCATACATGCATGTTCTCATCACTCTATTTCTATACATGTGATATGTTGACTTTGTTTCTACTATTGTTTCTGTATCTCCCTCTTACTTCAAAAACATTTTACTAACCTCGTGATTTCAAATACCCGAACCTTACCCTACACACACACACAAACACACACAGAGTACATCCTAAACCAGTCAAACCACCCAGGAACGCAGATATACAGCATGTATATATATAGTTTCCAATCACTTGTTCCATGCGCTGATCGTTAACTTCTCAGAAATACAAAGTGAGACAAGTTAATTAAGATGAGTGACAATTAGTTAGCTCATATAAACATACAAGCCGTTGTGCGTAGTGATAGAGAGAGAGAGAGAGAATCTTATGGGGAAAATGGGGAAGGTGATGGAGGATTTGAAGCCAGCGGTGATGATGATAATGGTCCAAGTGGGATATGCAGGAGTGAGCATATTATACAAAGTGGTTGCCAATGATGACAGCGCCACCTTGAGTATTCTCATGGCTTATCGTTTCATCTTCGCTTCTCTTTTCATGCTTCCTCTTGCTTTCTTCTTCGAAAGGTCCATCCCTTCTCTTGGCCCTTATTCTTAATTACTTACCTTACGTTTCTCTTTAGTGTATTAGTTTTATAATTAACTCGTTCACGTTTTCACAACTACAATAAAAGGCTTACGGGAGCGATTTGAAAACGCTCCTTATGTAGGTGCTTCCATGAGTGGGACACCAAGTAGTGCTCTTGTAGGTTAACTGATACATGTTTTCTAATTTCTTTAATGAAATTAATGTCCCTTCTCTTTAGTGTAACTGTATTATTATGCAGCTGAAGTTTTAACCTTTACCTATACGAGTTTATTTCTGATTTCTATGTTACTGGTATAAGATATTTCTCTGCTATTGAAGGGACAAAAATTTTCGATTTCTTTGTAGACGTACATTGAAGATCAAAGTTTTGGGAACAAATGTAAGCGATTTATGAAAATATACCCTCAAGAGTTTCGTTTTAATTATTTTTTTATGATCACAGGAAGAACAAACCCAAAATCACAGGGAAAGTGTTGTTACAATCATTTATGTGTGGATTATTTGGGTAAGTTAAATTATAATAGTTTTCTTTTTCCGTATTTATCAATCCCATCAATTAGATATGTTTCTCCTTCATTTCCATACATATCAAATATGTCATACTGTTTATAACCTGTGGACAGTACGTAATTCTTTCTTTGGGTGAACCAATGGATAGTAAATTTATTAATTTTATTGAGTCGATGGTGATTTTAAATCTTTTATAAGCTCTTATAGAACTAATGTGAGAATATAAATATTTTCCCCGATCATTATTTTTTAAAAAAATTACATCCTTTATTTTTCCATTAATCTGAAAAGATAAAGGATATATCGTCAAACTAAACTGGACAATATTTTTTTTTTGGTTTCAAAATGAATAGTATCGAATAAAGGGGAAAAAAATGGAAAGCTAAAAATCAGAGAGACTTGTATTGAAGCTCGCTTCTCTCTCCGTCTGGATCTCTCAGGGCGTCATTGCAGCAAAATTTGTTCGTGCAAGCAGTGTCTCTAGCGGGAGCTACATACGCTACGGCCATGTACAACCTCGTTCCTGGGGCAACCTTCGTCTTAGCCGTCAGTTTTGGGTAGGTCCCACACTCTCATTTGACCCTAGCCCTACATCTAGATCATGTGAATTAACTTGTATGCGAGGAAATTGCGGAAAAGGACCATATGGGAATCAGCGAATTTTCTTCCGCAAACTGCAATTTACCTTCAATTATTCTATTCTTTTTTCCTTATTTTTCTATTTTGGTCCTTGTCCTCGCTTAATTTAGTGATTATGTCATTTTCCCTAATTTCTCCTTTGTATTATCAACATTCTCTCTTATATTCTAAAAATAAGGTAATTTCTAGAAGAGTTATTTGAATCAAAATGCAAAGTAACATGTAGGGGTGGAGATAAAGGGGATCAAAAGGGCCACAGCCCTCTTAAGTTTTTAATTTTTTTAATAAAATGTAAGGATTATAAATTTTTAACTTTTAAGTTGACACATTATAAAAGTCCTGAGATACTAGATGACATTCTCGGTTCAATTCTATATATAGTCTTTTATGCATGTATATATATATAGTGTAATTGTTTTAGTAGTTTGAAGATATAGATGCTATAAGAGATTTAATTATTTTTAATAAGATAATGCTACACATGCTCTTAAAGCATTGATATCATTTGATTTTGCTTTCATTTTAAGAATTACAACAAAAATCCCAAGATATAAGGTTATATGTTTAAGATGGTGTTCTAGAAAAGTACTTTTTTCTTTGTAATAATTAAGCTATTGAAATATATATGATGTGAATGGTTTGTGACAATTGAGCATATTCACCGTGTTAATATATTTATTTACTATGATTATTAATTGAAAGAATTAAATTGTAAATTCAATAAACATGTAATAGATTGAATAAAAATTTTGGCAAAAAACAGATTGAATAAAATTTTAGATCTCAATAAAGCATTTAAATCATTCAAAGCTCACAGAGAAGCTGAAATTTTCATAAATTTACTCACAGGGAAGATGAAATTTTCATAAATTTAATGATAATTTATATTAAAAAGGGAATTGCTAAAAGTTTATTGTATACATGATAATTAATAATTTTTACATCATAAAAAATTGACAAGTAAAACTTAAAAAATGGAGGGATATATAAATATATACATTGAAATATTTATATTATAAGTGATATATATATATATATATATATATATGAATTTAACTTTCTTTTAATTATTATATATGTTTTGACATCACTTTCCCCAATAAAAAATTTGCAGCTCCGCCCCTGGCAAGATGTGGTGTTTATATTCTTTTTCCTAACTAGCTTTTGGATTGTTTTTAATTCCAACATGAGGCTTAATTTTGGTCATATTTATTACACTAAATGAAGGGTTATAAAACTGAAAAGATTAATATTCTTTGGGAAGACGAATGATGTAAATTACATATGCTTTTTGGGATGCAGATTGGAGGAGGTGAACATAGGAAGATTATCAGGGAAAGCAAAGGTGGGAGGGACAGTATTGGGAATTGGTGGGGCCATGATGCTGACATTCTACAAGAGCATAGAGATACATTTATGGTCAACTCACTTCAATATTATGAAACATGTGGCCCCACAGAAGGCGCCCTCCAATGAAATTTGGGGCATTGCTTTGGCCTTCGGCACTTGCCTCTCCTACTCCCTCTGGTTGATCATTCAGGTCACCCTCTCTTCGCACTCAAATTCATCTCAAAGCTCTTGCAAAAGCTAAAACAATTAAGCAAGCATGCATCGTGAAACTCATCATGAGAAAATAATCATCAATGTATTATGAGTGGACTTAAGTTAACGTGAAATGTTCCATACGCATTAAATAAAGTTGGGCTAACTTAATAAATAATATAAAATAAAAAAAAAATGATTCATTAAACTTGAACATTAAAGTTTTGCGTTAAGACGTGGTACATTTTTACTACTGATCTTCGCCCTATTTTCCGGTGATAGTTTCCTTTCCTGTACCTAATAATTCCTATCTTCCTCCTTTTTTCAAGACATGACTACTTTTAAACACCCTTGGAAGACAAGATTATTGAATTGTGCATCGATCCCATCGTTTAAGCACTTCATTCACATAGCCTTATTAAATTCAAATGTGCTTTGAATTTATAATGAATGAAGGATATATATATATATATATATATAATGCAGGCAAGAATGAGTGAGAAGTTTCCCTGGGCATATACAAGTGCAGCTTTGATGTCAGTGATGGCAGCAATACAGTCTGTCATTTTTGCTCTCTTCATGGAAAGAGATTGGAATCGTTGGAAGCTCGGTTGGAATACCTTCCTTCTTACTGCTGTCTATACGGTACCCTTTCAATTCATTGACTGCCTTACTAATTAATTAGTGTTGATCACTCCGCCAGTTCTATATATTTGTTGAGATATAGATTTATTTTGTTAATATATATTATCTATTAAAATTTAATTTGAAAATGTTTATATTCATCAAATATTATTAAGATTAATTAGTTATTATTATGTTTATCTATATATTATAAGCTTTTCATATCAATAGCTTCGCGTAAGACACTTTTTCAGTCTCCTTTAATTCTCTCTTGACTTCTTTCAATATTAGTTATCGAACTTCATCCTCCTCCCGGACCACATGCAATATAGTGCATTTTCTAAAAATCTTATTTTGTCTAAACTATATGGCATTAGATAGTTTTTATAATCATTTTTTAATTATATCTCTACTTTATTTATTTCTCTTTTTTGAAAAATAATGCATTAAAAATTCAATTGTCATTAGTAAGGCACTTATATAGCATATTTAATTAAAGAGGATGTAATTGAAAAAAAATATAATTTTTTAAGAAATTATGATCTCATCTAACATTTGTTAAAAACAATGAAATAGTTACTAATGCTCTATATTATAATCTAGAGAGAGTGGGTTTTTCCTTCTAACATTCATGCTTTTTAATAGGAGTAAACTTGAAAAGTCACGTTTCATTCTTAGACAACCGTTTCAATGATTTAATCACCTTTTCTTCATTTTCACAATGAAGTGGTTAGTAGTTCTATGATGCGGGACTACACTTTGTTCATGTTGAGGTATCACCATCATCATCATCATCATCATCATCATCATCATCTGAATTCTGAAATCCTATCTCAAATTTAATTTTTATGTATTTATGCACGCAAAAGGGAATTGTGGCGTCTGGGCTAGCTTGGGTTTTGATCACATGCGTCGTACGCCAGAAAGGACCACTCTACACCTCCATTTTCAACCCTCTCTTTCTTATACTCGTCGCCATTGCTGGCTCTTTTATCTTAGATGAAAGGTTGCATTTGGGAAGGTATGTATTATCTGCACATTTACATTATTAATCTCTCTCTCTCTCTCTCTCTCTCTCTCTCTCTCTCTCTCTCTCGGTTTTTACAATTCATATGTTTTGATTTAGTAATGAACTAATACATACATGCATGCATGCATGCATATATATATAACTTTTTTCTGTTCAGCCTGATAGGATCCATACTGATAATAATGGGGCTATACGCAGTCCTGTGGGGCAAAGGCAAAGAATTCAAGAGAAAAACAGCGGATCAGAATGTTGCTGAAGTAGAAGACTCAGCTGATTTAGGAGACTCTTTAAAGATAACTACCCCAAATAATGATCATCAAGACGATAATAAAACTGTTAATCATGAAGACAACAGTGATCAGACGACGACTAAGCCTGTTGGTTTTACTGCCACTCTGTTTAGTTCCTTCACTTCAAATTCGATGATCAGAAAACCATGAAACCAAGTTTCGAGAAAGGTTAATTACTGAAACAAATTAAATGAAGAGCAAGATACGTTATTCCATAGAATGATCATCAGACTTAAATGATGAAAAGCATATAAGCTTGAATGAGAAGGAAAGGAATAACGTATTAATGGGAACAAATATGACAGTGACGCGCTATATCATTAATAAGTCAACAAATAATGTTAACGATTCTTGCTTTTGTAGTAGTTTTACGATTACTTTCTTTTGCTGTAGTTTTAGTAACTTGAACTTCATTATATGTATTAATGAAAAGTAGTTCTGCTTTCTTGGATCCATATAAATAAATACCAACTTTCTAATTTGGGAGAATGATAACCACGTCCCAAGAACCATTTTATTCAAGTCCCAACAAATTCCTGAATGTAAAATAATTCTCTTGGTCCTTAAATGAGATTTTGAAATATTGGAAAAAGACTGAAACACTCTTAGCTCATTACTCTTTTGCCCTATTTTTCTTATAATTTCTATTTCCTGATCAACTTCCTTAATATTATATGTATTCAACTTTAAATCATTAATACTTCCACTTGTTGGATAAAGTTAGCATCTAAGAGGGGGCCAGGGTGAATTGCGGTATTCAAAATATTTTTTTTCCAACCCAAAATTGAAGATGAGCAAAGCAATATTTAATACAGGGAGCTTTCTAAAATAAATGAGTTTAAGAGAAGAAGAATTATGCACAAGAAAATTTATCTGGATTCAATCAACCTAACTGGTTGGCCCAGTTTTAGTTCCCAAGATCACATTTAAAATTGTCAACTATAAACACAAGCTTTAAAGGATGTTTGCCATCACAATATAATTCATAAGACTACAACAATCTTAATTTCTCAGCAATAGACACACTTACAAAACTTGTAAGTTGAAACCCACTTAGAAAATTTCTTTCTAAGATTTCAGAATGTAATAGAAGCTTTTCAAATTGAAGACCCCCTAAAAGAGTGCATATAAATATAATTGAAAGCTTATAAATTAAATGAGAGCTTTTTCACATAAATATGAACGCAGTTAGTAAGAATTCAATTTAACATATTTAATGCACAATAATTGGTTATCCACTCACTTAAATGAAGTCCTATTTATAGTTTGGGATCATTATAGACATAAGGATCATTCAAAAAGTAGTTAAGATCCATTGAAGACGTGTAGAAGTGAAGGAAATGATAAAAAGTATTTTTCTATGAATTACATTAAATGTATTGTTAGAGCCTCAGATAAGCATGTGTGAGGCTAAGACATGCATATGTTAGATCTAGGCAAAATGATTTAGCTTGCTTCTAGCTAGATCAAGTGTATCGTTTTAATTTTTCAAAACCTACTTCACATCATTTTTCAAAACATACTCATTTTAATTTCACATAATATCATACAATAATCAATCGCAACTTGTAATTACAAACATCAAACATATATGAGAATTTAATTTTCAGTTATCTTAACTCTTAGTTTACCAAACCATGAATACTTATAAATAGCCAGTGAAGCCTCTAACTAGCTCAAGTGCTCCAAGAATAGTTATACGCTAGTAAAAAAAAGCTTTTTATAGCAATTAAAAATGACTTTTTACAATATGATTAAAGAGGCAATGCTGTTTTAATGGGTGAGAATGTTCCTCACTTTCTACATCCATTGTACAACAGATGTAGAAGTTCAATTTTCTACATCGGTTAAACATAGCCGATGTAAAAAATATATCCAAAAATTTAAAAAAAAAAGACACAGGCACTTTCTATAGTAGTTATGCCCTCCAACTAATGTAGAAAGTCTTTGTTTTTTTTACTAATGTATCTATTTTTTTAATTTTACCTATTCCTATACATGAAAATTACTACAACCAAACTAGATAGGACAATTTATTTACAATTTTCAATACATTAAGTTAACAACTATTTATCAACTATCCAACAATTATTTAACTATCTAAAACTAACAACTATCTATCAACTATCCAAAAATTATTTAACTATCCAAAACTAACAACTGTCTAAATTGCATAAAACTATCAAAATTCTCAACTTTCCAAAACTTATTTAAAACTAACAAACCTATTAAATTGTATGAAATTATCTATAAAACTCACAAATTCTCTCAAAAATAAGTTGCCCAATGTATATGGATGTTTTCAATTTTAGCTTTGAAAAATGGATCCCTATTCTTAAACATCTAAAATATAATTCACAAAAGAGGCTTACTACTAGAAAAAATGCAAATTAGAAAGGAAATTTAGCAAGCCATTGTCTATTTCTCTCTAAAATGCAAAATTAGTAAAGAATATTGCTTTCGTGGCTTGACTAAAAAATAGCGAGAGACTTTTAATCCCTATTTAAAAAAATAATTAGCGAGACAAATAGTGAGGCATATTTATACCTCTCTAAAATGAGAAGATTAGCTAGGATTTAGTGAGGGATTTTATATTCCTTCCTAAAATAAAATAACTAGCAAGAAATTTAGTAAGGGATTTTGTATTTCTCTCTAAAATAAGATAATTAGAGAGGCAATTAGAAAAAAATTTGATATTCTTCTCTAAAATAAGATAATTAGTGATACATTTTTATACATCTCTAAAAATATATAATTAGTGAGGAAAATAGCAAGGTATTTTTATACCTCCTAAAGTAAAATAATTAGAGAAGAAATTAATTAGGGACAAATATTTATACCTATATAAAAATATATATCTAGGGATAAAATTAGCTAGGGATACTTATGCCTCTCTAAAAATATATAATTACCAAGGCATTTGTCATACCTCTATAAAATAATATAATTATATTATCAAGAAAATTAGCAAGATGATTTTATGTCTATCTAAATTGAGATAATTAGTAAGATACTTTTATGATTTTGTACTTCTCTTTATAAAGAATTTATTTTTTCTTAATATTTTCAAAATTGTCTAAGTATAAGATTTTTTATTTTCTCTTAATTTATTTTTGCCCTAAAATTTGAGCCAAGTGCCAAAACTTATACATTTCTTCTTTTAGTTTTTTCTTAACTTGAGTATTCAATATTCTTCCCCTCTAAAAAATCCCTCCCTAACATTGCCTAACTCTCCCTAGTCACATTGAACCCTTGACATTTTCCTCACTCACTCTCTACTCTATACTCTTTCGCGGTCTCTTCAGTCAAGCCGCTACTCAACATGGTTCCTCATCCAATGACACTATTCTCCTTCGTATGCTTTCTTGTAATTTCTCTCACTCTTTCCCGTCTTCGTTTCTACCTCACTCATTAAATCCTAGTCACAGGTTCCTCTAATTCTCTCCCTCTCCCCTTGATTTTTCTTTTCTTAAACTACTTTTTTAATTGTGTATTACTTTTGCATTTCAGGATTTGCTTTCTTTCTATTCTAACCTTGATTTGTAAGGTCTCCCTTACTAATCCCTAGTTAACTCCAAAATCAAGATAATCAAGGGATTAACCTCAAAAGGATTACCAAGTTTGTAAATTTTATAAAACAGGATTCCAAGTTTCAAAATTTTTGAAACATTCCAATATATTTTTATAAATCACAAATCATAGCCAAATAATTTTATGGAAACATGGAATATAGTTTTGTAACAAGGCATTTGCATTTCATTCAAGAAAACAACATTTTAGTACAATAGCACAAAGGTGTGCCATAGTTTGTCATATGTGTGTCGTAGTACATTTCTCTTTGTACCATGCGCCCTATCGTATTACACAAGTTTGATGGCATTATTGCTGTCATTTGATAGCAATAGGAGCAGACTTTTGATAAGCCTCATTTCCTCATCCGACATCCAATCAAGATAATCTAAGTGTTTATAGAGAGATTTCTTCTAACTCTAGTTAATAGCACTAATTTTACAAACAAATTATTTCTCAGTACAAAATTAGACACCCTTTTCTTAAATCATTCCTTTTTACATTACAAACACACCATGGGTTCCTTAATTCAAAATAAGTGCCAAAAGCCTAAATTCTACCCTAGATTACTCTCAATAAATTATGTGCAATACACCATATCATACAATTAACACATCTAATATATTTTCAACCCTCAACCCCTTAATCGCAAAAACTGAAGGGGGAGTCACAAATTCATAAATCATCATATCATTCGACATTAATCACATTTTTACTTACTTCTTACTTGTACTAGTATTTTGACTCTTTTTAGATTTCACAATTTAATATATACACAACATAAGGCCCAAAATATACAACTTAACTTAACAATCACATAGTGCAAATAAGTAAACATGAATTGCATGTCCCAGTTGGCAATATCAAAAACTAATTATACACATAATACTCAAAATAAATGAGGCTTATAGTTTTAGAATAGAAATCTTAAGCCTCAGGCTATTTTCCTCGGTCTTGTCCTAATGAGCTAGCTCCTATAATATTGAAGAGAAATAGGTAAGTACAACCACTCAGTAATTAAGGTATATCTAACTTACACTAATGTATGTCAATTAATTTAAATGCAAGTGCCATACTATTATCATACTCATGTCAATTTAACATATTTAAAACACATATTGGCATGAAACACATCATTAAGAGCATATATTCATGAAATGACAACATGATAGTTCATTTTCACATTGTTACAAAGCTAATCACATGCTTTCATCACAAGGGTCACAATATAGCCAACTATGTGCCCTTTTATCACACTATGTATGACCACACCTCCCTTATATCTTCCTTATGCCTCCGACACAAAATCGTGGGCTATTATATATTAGGATCCTCCATATGCTATGCTTCAGAAGCTACTCGACCAAGATTGGTTAACCCACTTATGAATCACATTTTTTCCAAGTCTCACACTATAGGGTGTTGTTCTCCTTAAACTAATTTCTTTGTCAAACAAGTAAAAAACTAGAGTAAGTTTAAGTCCCTTATTACATAATGGGATAGCCCCTTATTAAACAAATGAGACAACATATGTATATGATATCTAAGCAAACCATTGAGCTCCAATGGTAGCCTTACCACATGAATTTCAACTCATGACTCCTCTTCTCAGGAAAACTCTTGCCTTACATGATCATACAATATGTAAAAGCAATATCACATAGCATGCAAAATAATCACTGAATAAGCATGCTTAATATTATCGTTGTACTCATATCATATATAATCATCACATAAATACATAACAACAAGTCATTGAACTCCACATCACATTATATCATTGAACTACACACCATAATTAGTCATTAAACTTCATGAAACATCATATCATTGAACTCCACGTTACTCATATTTATTGAACTCTACTTTACACACATTCATTAAACTTCACTTCACAAGTATTCATTTCAAAATTTTCCCTCGTT